TATCGTTTTAGGGAAGTTGGGCATAAGCATGAACTAGATGGGATTATTAACCAAAGGAAGATTTTCTCTCCGATTCATTTCAAGACACCTTTTGCCTATGTTGAACGTGGTGGTAGTTTCCATAAGAAGTCGTGGAGAAGGTGACCTAGAGCTAATAACTTCATGTTGTGGAGATAAGCACTAAGGTGAACTTGTGGCTGTTATTAAATGCGTGCAATGGATTAAAAATATCCGGAATAATTATCAGAAAAAAAGTGTTGCCAGCTTCATATGATGAAAAACCAGCAATTTTTGGTAAACGATTTTGTGGAGAAACAGCTGGTGCATACCTCGAGGTGCGCCACTTGCTCAGATACAGTCGCTCTTGAACCGTCGATCCGACGTCAACCAGCTCCTTACTGAATCACTCAATCGTTCATTTATTAGTCAATAAAACCACAACGATGCTGAGATATTTGCAAAACTCCGGACCGCAGGTGTCTGCGGGAAAGAATGAACACGCTATTACCCTTTCAGGGACTATTGAGACTAAAGGGACTAATTTCACCACCACACCATGCGGGTCCTTCGTTTCACCCGTCTCTTAGCTAGTTTTCTGTCGATCAGTGCCATCAGCAGTCACTCGTCAATGGGATTGATCTCGGTAGCTCACACCGGCATTCTACCCGGTTGAGCTGAGGCTGTAGTTCAAAGCACAATATTCACTTTTTATTTCCTGCCTACTACAATTTTTCACGCCAGGGTACTATTCGAAATACAACCTGTTGGCCCCGGAAAGCGTAACCGCAGGCACCTGCCGTCCGAAGTTTTGCAAATATCTCAGCATCGTTGTGGTTGTATTTCGAATAATACCTTGCAGTAAAAAATTGTAGTAGGCAGCAAATAAAACGTAAACATTGCGATATTAGTGAATAGCTTGCCGACCAACCGGTAACTGACCAAGCACTGACTCGATCATCAACGACGCGTTAAGAATCGAACAAAGCTCATATTCGCTGCTCTAGAAGAGGTAATTGGAATCAAAATGAATTTTTCTATAATACCGTTCGAAACTAGCGAACCTTTTCAACACAACTAGTTTACTGTTCAGCAAACACGAGGTGTTATTTTATTTCTTTATTTACGTACAAGCTGACGTTTCGGCGGATTTCGCCTTCCTCAGAGCCTGGAAAGGTCAAGTTGACTGCAATCTACACGGCCAAACACCTCCATAACCAAACAGAGAAAATGCTGAACCAAGATTTCAATCACACTGAACACAGAGTCATTGCACACTCACCGCTTTCTATGAGTTTTCCACTAAATCGATCCTTGAGCAGGAATCGAGAACACAAGCGCGCAAAACTCAAGAGACATTCTGGATTAATTCCAAGAATCCGAAAATGAACCGCAGGGAGGAATGCGTCATTAACACGCGTGATATTGGGCAGTACATAAGCCTGTTATTTTGATGAGATGGGTACAATACGATTCCGTGTGAACTCTGTGCGGTTGGTCTCCACGTGACATATTTAGTGGAAGACTCATAGAAAGCGGTGAGTGTGCAAAGACTCTGTGTTCAGTGTGATTGAAATCTTGGTTCAGCATTTTCTCTGTTTGGTTATGGAAGTGTTTGGCCGCGTAGATTGTAGTCAACTTGATCATTCCAGGCTCTGAGGAAGGCGAAATCCGCCGAAACGTCAGTTTGTACATAAATAAAGAAATAAGGTAATACCTCGTGTTTGCTGAACAGAAGTAGAAAGAAGTATTCAATCAATGCCGAGGCTAATAGAAAGTCGGACGTGGGAGTTACAACTAGTTTACGTTTTCACTAGCCATATTCACATAGGTCCACCATGGACGACGATTGCTAGGGAGAGAAACGAATGGCAAATGTGCTGGGGTGCAGACAACTCGTGAGGATGGACCATCTAAGTTTCATGTGCAGATAGGTAGTGAAGGATATTTCGCACTATATAGATCGGAATTTCTATGATTTTACAAAAATACTTCGTTTTTGTGAAGCTTCTTTTTAAATAAAAATAACCGCTTTGTGTTTTAGACGAACCCAAAGCAATATGTTATTAGAGAATCTTTAACGGATCCATTAATGATTTTCTAAGCTCCATTTGCTCAGCTGCTTTCGTCACTTCCTACCACAATACCCCCACGTTCCACTTCTTCACACCATCGAAACTCTGTTTCACAAAGTTCTCTATATTCTAAACATACACCTTTCAATGTTTTTGAAGAAAATCCTGCTTCCATCACAAATTTAAGCCTAACCATGCACAGACTTTATTTAGTTCAGAGAAGCTTCTTCATTTCAATCAATGAGAAGATTCTTTAGATATGAAAAAGTGCAAAGAATTAACATTTTGAGGAAGAAATGAGGAAACAAGGCTTGACACTCCACTTAATGGTTGTCATTCCATTCTAATATGTTCTATTAAAAAACAATCGACTATTGGAAATGAGTTTCGATCGGAAGTTCGGCTAAGTAAGTAAGCGAAGTACGTACGCGGTAAGTGAATTCGTAGAGCCGGTGTCATCTCGGAGGAAACCTGGTTGGGATGCCGCTTGACATCTCCCTTATGCACAACGACCTGCCATTGCTCTCTGTTGTGACGACGTAGGAACTTACTGTCTTGAACTTTTCCGAAATTCGCGAAAAATTTGTTGTACAAAAATTATAACAGTTGTAAATCTGGTTTCTTCGTTCAAGCGGTGCTTCACTCCAGAAGATTCGACTCGATGCGACTACGAAGACTCCATGTCGCGTGAACGAATGGCTAAAACTTATGACCAGCTTTGTGTTAGCTTAGAAAAAGGATAAGAGGCGAAACTCTTGGCGTTGATTAATCCCTGAGGGAGACGCCATGCATTCGATTTCATCAAGCATCATCAGAGGTGACTGAATGCATAGCTGGCCTATACAGTGACTCGCGGTGCACTACCGGTCTATCGAGCTAGTGCTGCTGTCCTCCCAGACAGGTCTGCTTCCTTTTTGCGGATCCTGGAGAAAAGGATGATTTGGTGAACCTGGAGCGTGGGATTGAAGCCATGTGTATTGTACAGCACCTCTAACCACTGCGATACAAGCTCCAACCGTTATCTTAGTAATCCAAGAAAATATTGATTATTTGTGCCGAGGTTAAAAGGAATTCGATTTTCTAAGATTCACCGTAGCCTAGGTAATTCCTTCTGAAGACGATCTCTTCAAGTGTTCAAGTGTGGAGGTGCAGTATGTGAACACTGTTACCGCTGACATTTTATGCTCAATTTGAAATGTTTCAGAGGTGAGTTTTTTCTTCCAGTTCGACAAAATAGGAACTCGTCGATTAATGACTTATTAGCCGTTTGCGATTCCTCTCTTGTCACGTCGGTTATTTTGCCGACTGAAACTAGTTTTCGTGAGGACAGAATTTGCCGTTGACTAGGGCATAGCCAGTCTGTGCAATGTAGTTCGGTCCCGACCGATTTCCTGTGCTCATTTCGTGATCAGCTCGATCGTTAGCGATATATTACTATTTTTATAAGACCGCGTTTTTGTTCATAAAACACTCATGTTGTGAGATCGTCGATAATAAAACCGGGTTCTGCATAAATATATACGATTCTTAAAAGACCACTTTCCTATCTAACAGGAAGGTGAACTTTTCGGAGATTAAAATAACTTGCCCTTTGCATACATAATTTTTTGTGTAATTAGAAATTTCGTACGCCTCATCTGTTTAGAATTTGGTCCGGCCTCATGACAAATCACACAATGCCGAACTGAAACCTGAATTGCTTACGGCCATACTCTTATAATAACAAATACGCAGACATTTTTTTATCGTCCCATTGTCGTCTGAAGAGTGTCCCGTAACGTCGAATCACGATAAGAGTTATCATAATGGAAAGATCTCATAAGCAAGGAGAGGTAGAGGTGCACCACTTCACGGTGAAGTCCATCTAAGAGAAAACGTTTGCCAGGAAACGAAACTGTGTTGGAAGAAACTCAGTCTCATAGAGATGCAACCTCCGATGATGCACAAGAGAAGGCGGGTTTCTGTGTCAATAACGTGAAACGCCTTGTTCCAGTTTCTCGGCGTTCATGACAAAGAAGTTTTGTGAACAGGTGTCATAGTAGTTAGGTGGAAACTTTGCTGATGCCAACAGGTCTTTTCTTAAAGAGACAGCATTAAAGCGGTAAGTACTCATAGAAAACTTTCGTGCACATCGGTTAATGCCATCGACTCACCGAAACGCATGATGATTTCTGACTCATCCGGTTTCATAAACTATGTTTTTACTCCGATTATCCCTTCTCATTTCAGGTATGACTAGTTTTCTTTTTTTCGCTTCAGGACTGACTCTTCGCCTATCCATTTGAACCAAAATGGATGACATTGATAGAGTAGCTGGCTCTGACGCTGCAATATCCCTCTCTTTATTCGAATCATATCAATGTCTCTTTGAGTTATGTGGATGTTCTTTTGTTGTTCTTATCACCATGGACGTGGCGCGTGTTGCGCGGTGGTCGGATGCGCTCTGCAATGCACATAAGATCGATTCCGGCAGCCGTTGCTCACCAAGCCTTCCATCCATCCGGGGTCGGCAAATTGGTACCAGACTTGTCTGGGAGGATAGGAACACTGGCTCGATACATCGGTAGGCCACCGGGGTTCACCGTAAAGGCCAGATATGCATTCAATCACCTTCAACGTTGCTCAATGAAGTCAAATGCATGGCGCATTCCTGAGTGATTGATCAATGCCGACAGCTTGATCCTTTGTTCTTCTTATCACCATAGATGCAATTTTGATGCCTCTAATGCATAGAGCTTTTTCCTCTCTACTGGATTCACAACTTATATTCCCGTTGTAGAAGCCAAAAAATGACGTCTATCAAATCGGGCCGATTACTATTTTGTTTGTCCTGTTCAGTGATCGATTTGACACCAACATCTCTTCTTACCGTTCATTTCTCGATGATGAACGATGGTGACTAATAGCTGAGCCCCATTCAGATAGGTTCTATCGAAACGTTCCGTATTTCTCGAAACTGTGTTCGACGGCGACGTCAGCGAATGTGAACTGGTCCGATGGCGGTTTCTTTTTTCTTGTATTTGGATTCGGATCAATTGCCGATTGTTGATAGGCAGCCACCGCTATAGCTGACGACGTCATGCTTACATGGAGAACATCTCCAGAACATTCTGGACCTCCTTTCATCTCTTCGCTTTCGTCCATAGAAAAAGAAATGTACTTTTGCTTCTTCAGATTTCCATTCTCATCTGCTCCAAAAAGATTTTTTACATATTTTTAAGAAGTAATGGACATTGTTTTCATATTTTTGATGAATTCAACATTCCAAGAGGTTTTCTTAGGAATCTGCCTCCCAAGAGAAAAGCGGTTGGACCAACATTTATGTTTGTTTGTTGCTGCAACTTCTATTACCGTTTTTTTCAACGTTTGCTTCCTTCCCTCTATATATTCTACTTATGAAGAATTTTTTGGCAGTATCAACATCTCCAGTATGCCCTCAAATAGCTCCGGTTTTGTAGAAGTGCAATGACTAAAAGAACAGGGAAATTTTTAACTGCTCTTTCTTTTCGTTCTTTTCTTTGCTCTCATAGTTAAGTCGTCGAACAAATGGTCGGCTTCGATATATTTTTAGTTTATCGTCGTTTATATGCTTGATGAAAGAGCTGCTTTTCATACCAGGAATGCGTAGTTTTTCTGAAATTAAAGGGACATCTTGTAGAAGCATTTTCACATTCGTCCGCCTACTGTACTCTGTCCCCAATTTTCTTTTTCTACATCATCTTTTCAGTCCTTTGTCTACATGTATTCTTTCTTTGATAAGCTTACTTACACAAGATTGATGAGCAATTTAATTCGGCTAAAGTTCCGATGTCTTCGTCTTCATCAGAGCCAATGATCCAAGTCGATAGTCCACGGTTCTTCTTCGTCGCGATGTGGCGTCTTCGCCTTCGAGTTGTGTCTTCCTCAGCGGACCATCTCTCGAATGAGGCATACTCACTCGATGAAATATTGTTACTACGCTTTGTCTCGGTTCTTCTTTCTCGGTAGTGTACATTTTCAGCACTTTACAGCAGTGAGAGTTAGGAAAGCGAAGAAAAAAATAGGAATATGAAAGTGAAGATTTTCCATGGAAAGGCAAATATTATCACCAATACTTTATTGACAACTTCATCATGTATTCATTCCTTTGATTCATTCATTCCTAGAACCAGGAAGCTTTTCGCATAGTGGAAATACCACTTGTTTTTCATGCGATCTAGTTATTTCTCCTTCCATTTGCTTATATACAAAAGCTTATTTACAAATGCTTTCAAAGCAAGGTGTAGTCATAGAACAGTAGGCTTTCCTTTAGCGGCGGCAGGCGGACTCTGCTCAGTTCATGTTCTGCTCGATGCGTTCAGTTTTACTATCTCTCTCTCATTGGGAAAGTATGGAAGAATCAATGACTACCAGGATGTGATGTATTGATGGAATCCGAAATGGCTTAGTAGAAGGTACTCAACCCCATCATTAATCACAACGCTGGCCCTTGCCTATATTCATGTTTCCCTTCCATTTTAGGACTCAGGGATACCTAAATTAATGGAAAAATTCTTCTCTCTACATTTCTTAGGGATTTGGCGATGGCTTAGGGTTTGGTGGCACTTCGTGCGTCTTCTTTTTTCTTTAAGACTAGTGTTTCTATGGTTCCTGAGCTCCCGCACAACCTCAATTACGGAATTAGATTGTCTGGGTAGTCTGTAACCTCGTCAGTCGTTAAAATATTGTTTTCACTTCAAGGGAGCAAGAAACTTCTAGCAAATACAAAAGTATTCACTTTCGAAAGATTCTTCCTACTTTTACTTTTTTTGAGATCTCCTAAAAACTCTTTTTCGAATTTTTGAATCGTTACCCGATGGCCTCTTTGTTCAATGATCAACACTTCATCGGAATTTTTAGATGTGGACCCATCTCTGATACGATACACCGACTTGTCTTCATTATGCTTAAATTTTTACCTGCTACCTGTTATTTTTTCACAGCAGTCACTTTCAAAACTGGGACCCTAGGCCAGATCCTTGATTTTGCAAATAACTCGGCATCGTTGTGCTTGCTTTTCTTCATTATTTTCCAAGAAATCCTTCTGAAACGATGTTGTCAATCATCCGCAATAGGTCATTTTCTTCAATATTTTGGCCAAATCATTAACATCGATAGCGCATGATTCTTGGACACTTGTTTGTTACAGTTCACTCTTTCTATCCAATCCATAGTGCAGTTTTTTTTTTTGTAGAACACCGTTTCCAAAAGACCACATTCGTAGGAGTCGTTTGCAGATGAATGCCACCATACATCCGTCGGCGTCGTTCGACGAGCAGAGAGCGGCGGAATCCCTAGAAAGAGCGATGAGAGGCTTCGGCACCGACAAGAAAAAGGTGGTCGATGTACTCGTCGGATGCAATAACGCCCAACGACAAATGGTAGGTGCTTGTCCAGTGTTCTAAGTGCTCACCTTATTTTCTTAATGGTTAAAGTACATTTCTACAATTTTCTTCTAGAACTCAAAATATGTTACTTGTTCCATTTACAAAGTACCCAATCCTTCCAACTCTAAGTAGTGGATCACTCATATCATGTGGTAATTGAATCACGGCTTTTTTTTCATATCGTTCTTAAGCGGTTAGTCGACTAATAGCAGGAATAGCGCGGACCTGGAACAATCGGTTTCGCAAGACATAGAGCTCCTAGATGAATGACCGAGTTTGGAAACTACTTATGGTGACGTACCAGGAATGCCGTAGCATCTTTATTTGGGGTTCCTAGCGAAATTCGTACTCGATCAGCACATTTTCATGTCCGTGAGGAAAGGAGTGCACAGATTCTCAAGTCACATCCAGATCCGACCACTTCTACGAAAGGCGGTTGCAAGACAACGAGACAAATAGAGGTGCTCAAACCCGCACGACATATAAAGGCGGGTGGCCTAAGTTTCTAAATAATTGACTCAGAAATCTTTTCCACGCGAGGTCAATCTCCCTGTCTATGTGCTAAGTGGTGCGTTCTTAGGCGACGTGAACGAAGACGAAAGCGCTATATACTTAAACTGATACTTTGTGCATCAGTGTGGAATCTCTGTCTCTCCTGTATCCGGTAGGTTTACACTTTCTGTATGCATGCATTGCACAGGTGCGTCAGTGTGGTTGTGTACATACGAATTCTACACTGTTGTCGATTCGGCAACAGTCTACCATATTTTAAATGGAAGAAACATGGGAGTTAAACCAGAATCCCTCCAAAAATTAAGCCTCATGTTTGCTATAGGAAGCCCTGGTAAACTGCGTGTATCTATATGCATAGCCTTTTGCGGCGACTACGGTTTCCGTCCACTTCTGTTTGGGTATCTTATTGTCAATAACCGCGACAACAATGTGCTTCGTACGAAATCGTTCTGCTTTTGTGATATTGTTGGCGTGGAGGCTGGGCAGCTGTGTCATGCGACAGCGACAAATGAATTTCATCAGTGGCTGTTCAAATTGCTGCATGATTAAGAGCGTTATTGAGGAAGGCAACTTTCGATGGCAGTGGAGGCTAGGTTCTACATAGGTGTGATTTGAAAGATGAATATCGTTTGCGATTAATGAAATTAAAAAGCAACAAATCAGAAAAGTAGTTGGGAGCTCTCAGAGAATTCGCTCTTTCTGTGAAGTACAAGTATTAACGGGAATTAGCGGGAACGGGAAAAATGTTTTACGACTTCTCTCTAACGTCATATTGTAGTTTGACTTTAAAACTAAGTCAACTCTAGCCATTTAAATACGAAATTCCTTGTTGTTTCAGATTCGTACACCGTACAAGGTTCGCTACGGTAAGGATCTTGAGTCCGAACTAAAACGTGAACTATCTGGAGAACTGGAGGATGTTATAGGTACGAAAAATAGTAATTCGTTCACATTGCGGCACCATCGAGTCCATGTACCAACGGCATTCACTCAGGCGTAGAAAATAACAATATTGATTGGTTAATATAAATTGTTCCATAAATATGATAGTATATTAGTTTCCTTGTGAAATCAATCGTCTTCAGTTTTGATTTTTCACAAAAAAGCTTCTAATCTCTTTATTCTCTTATTCTACTCTATTTCTCAGTTGTGATGGTAGGGAAGGATTCGACGAGTATTGCCCATCAAAACCCGTGCCAAAAATTATTTCGGATTAATCCTCAGGAGCGACGTTAACTTCGGAAATCGATAAATAAATAGTTCACTCAATGTTTTCTTTGTGACTAGACACAAAGTTGTTGTTGCACTATTTATTCACAATAACTGACGTTTTAGCGTTTTCGCCTCGCCGAACAATTCCTCGCTCACCGAGGAAGTCCTCGCCCACCGAAAAATTCCTCGCCTGTATGGCTGATCCACTTGGAGCAAGTGGAAGGCTTACAAAGAACAAAATGGGTCTAAAGAAGGCGAAAACGCCAGAACGTCAATTGTTGTGAATAAATAGTGCAACAACAACTTTGTGTCTGCTCACAAAGAAAACGGTAATTGAACTATTTATTTCGGGATAATTCAGAAGCTGTTGCAAGAGCTTACGATGGTACTATGAAAACGAAAAAGTATTCCGAGTGATTTGATCGCTAAAGATTTTCCTGCTTTGCAGTTGCGCTGATGCAGACGCCAACGAAGCGTGACGTTCTCGACATCCAGAAAGCAGTTAAGGTACGTCAAATAGTAATGAGTAATGCTCATAGTAGATATTAACTTTGCATTCAGGGTTTTGGTACGAACGAAAAAGTTCTGATCGAAATTCTCGCTTCACGCAGCAATGAAGAAATTCAGGCGATACGGTAGGTTTCGATATCGCTTATGTAGAAGTTCCGAGCTGCTAAAGTCGCACTAGAAATGCATATTTCATTTATTGGGTAATAAAGGCTTGCCTAATAGCCTATATGGTCCTGCTCCACATATTCTACAGGCCTTAGCACGTTTCGATTATCCGTCTTGCCAACGTCTCCATAGGAGTAGTCGAGACTCCCACGACCGACTTTCTAGTAACCTCGGCATTGATCAAGTAATTCTTCGTATTTTTGTCGAGCAAACGCGAGGTGTTATTATTCTTAATTCACGAATAAGCTGACGTTTCGGCGGATTTCGCCTTCCTCAGAGCCTGGAAAGGTCAAGTTGATAGCAATCTACACGGCCAGACGCTTCCATAACCAAACAAAGGAACTCTAAACCAAGATTTCAATCACACTGAACACAGCTTGGCACACTCACCGCTTTCTATGAGGTTTCCACTAAGTCTGTCACGTAGAGACCAACCGCACAGAAATCTCATGGAAGCATAATGTGCCCCTCCCATCAGAATAACAGTCTTATATACTGCCCTATATCACGCGGGATAATGAGGCATTCTTCCCTGCGGTTCATTTTCGGATTTCTGGAATTAATCCAGAATGCCTCGAGAGTTTTTCGCGCCTGTGTTCTTGATTCGTGTGCGAGGATCGTGACACATACTTCAAAGCCCTCCCCGTTATGTCTCTAGGTCCTATGCGCGCCCAGCGAGGTATGCGTGTCGAATGATTCTGCAATGCAAGCCATATTCGGTCTCCTTACACAACACGGAGGAGAAATAAACATGTATGGCTTCAAGGTAGAGCACTTGATGGCACTCTTAAAAAAATGTTTGAGCTGCTCAAACTTCAGATGGTCCGGAAAGTACTGCGCTCAAATAAGAGGGTTGGCAATGGGACAACGACTGGCTCCAAGCCTTGCCACTGCATTTATGTCTAAGGTGGAAGCACCGGTGACTGATCTCGGGCCACTACTCTACCGTAGATATGTAGACGACTGTTTTGTCCTTTGCTCAACACAAGAAAAAATGGACAAATATTTCGAGTTGTTAAATGCACAGTCAGAGTATATCAAGTTCACCCGAGAAAAGCCGAAAGAAAAATAGCCTCCATTCCTGAACGTCCAAATTCACCTATCAGAAAATGGCTACATTATGAAGTGGTACCGAAAGCCAAGTAGTGAAAACATCTTAGTTCATTACCTCTCCTCTCACCCCTCTCACACGAAAAGGGCGCTTATAAGAAACATGTTTCGAACAGCAACCAACGTGTGCACGGAAAGAGCAGAGAGAGGAGTCCCGGAACTTGGCGCGGCAAATAGCCATTTCTAATGGCTACGGAGCTGTAGCTCAAGATAGGTGTAGGGGAAATCCTAGGCCTCCAAACGACAACTCTAGCGATAGAAGGGTTCCGTTTATCCTACCCTTCGTCTCAAATGATGTAAGTACAGCTATAAAACGCTGCTTAAGAAGGGCGGGTTTAGAAAAATCGGTAAACGTAGTTGAAATACCACCGAGTAATCTTAGGCCCCAGCTAGTTCGTAACCGCCTATATATGTCTATGTGCAACGCAAAATTGCATAATTTGCCCCAGTGGTAGAGACGGTGATTGCATGGGGTCGGGTATGGTTTATCTGATCTCCTGTAAGACGGGCGGAGACGAATGCATTGGCGAAACGGGCAGACCCCTCTGCGTCCGCATAAAAGAACACCTAACCGACAAACATAGACCAAATACCGCTGGGCGCGCATAGGACCCAGAGACATAACGGGGAGGGCTTTGAAGTATGTGTCAGTATCCTCACGCACGTATCGAAAACATCAGCGCGCAAAACTCTCGAGGCATTCTGGATTAATTCCAGAAATACGAAAATGAACCACAGGGAAGAATGCCTCATTATCACGCGTGATATAAAGCAGTATACAAGACTGTTATTTTGATGGGAGGGGCACATTATGCTTCCATGAGATTTCTTTGCGGTTGGTCTTCACGCGACATACTTAGTGGAAACCTCATAGAAAGCGGTGAGTGTGCCAAGCTGTGTTCAATGTGATTGAAATCTTGGTTTAGAGTTCCTTTGTTTGGTTATGGAAGCGTCTGGCCGTGTAGATTGCTATCAACTTGACCTTTCCAGGCTCTGAGGAAGGCGAAATCCGCCGAAACGTCAGCTTATTCGTGAATTAAGAACAATAACACCTCGCGTTTGCTCAACAAAAATACGAAGAATTACTTGATCAATGCCGAGGTTACTAGAAAGTCGGTCGTGGGAGTCTCGACTACTCCTATGGAGACGTTGGCAAGACGGATAATCGAAACGTGCTAAGGCCTGTAGAATATGTGGAGCAGGACCATATAGGCTATTAGGCAAGCCTGTATTACCCAATAAATGAAATGTGCTTACGAAGTTGTCGAGATTATTCAGAGCTTAACGGTGTGTCGTGTTTATCACTTTCTGAGATACTGAGGGCTGGATGTTAGTGGTTTTCTCTTTAAATCTAATAAAGTCGTGCTAGCTGTTACTTGATGTTCTTTATCACATGCGGTCGACTTCCCTTGTGTATAGTAGGGAGGTTTGTTATTCCGCAGAATTCGATAGGCTAATTCATAAACTATTTATAGTTTTAGTTAGGGCATGCTTCAAAAAACATACAAATGAAATTAGGATGTTTCTAGCCAAGTATTAAATTTCTATGTTACAGCATTTCACGATTTTAGTAGGTTACTACTCCTACTAAATACTTAATGAAGACCTGACTGAACACACAAAAGAAATTGCGGTGTAAAATAAGCACTTTTCAAAATATCTAATTTATTCCTAGTTGGATTTCCCACTTTCGTTTTCGTACCGGTTCAAGCACAGATAAGATTTTAATGGAATTATGCTGATTTATTGAGCTTTTCCCGAGAGTTGCAACATGCGCGTTGTGAGGCTGAAGGTTTGCTGGAAAACTTCTCCCAGGACAATGGTAATTCTTGGCGTATGTCTACTCGTAGATGATTTTTTGGATTCAGATGTTGGGCTTCATATCGATGTAAGTGGCACTGCCGTACACCATTCGCGGTTCGACACTTAGGGAAGCGATTGTTGTAATAAGGCCTCCAACCCCAGAGGAGTTTAAAGAATATATCGAATTTATTACTGAATTTTATTATTGCCAAAGTAATTAATCCCAAACTTCGATTTCTTTAGTAAGTACTGTTGGATTCCACGGGTCCTAGTTTTCACAGAACAATGATGGATAGCTGTTGAGTATTCCCTGCGAAACCTCCACCTACTTTACTCATCACCGTAATATTAGCATTCGTTCTCTTGCTCCTGGACTCGTATGCCAGTGCGCCATCCATATTGAAAGGGTCACTTCTCTATACGTAGTTAGAGAAATCACACACGAAGCGATTCAATTTTTATAGGAGCGGTTAAAAATATACACAGTCGATTACAATATCTGGTAATAAATGTTGCCACTAGCAAATCCATAATACGAGAGTCGACGGTTAGCGATCCCTCATTTAATGTCGTCAGAAAAGTTTCGTGCCATTTATCAAAAGTGTATGTGGAAATTTATGACTTTTTGTGCTACTCAAACAAATTCTCATATATTAAGTGCACCAATCTCCCTCATAGAAAGACCCCATGCTGGCTACTGGTGAGGCAACGTGGCGCGTTTCTAGGTGAAAATGGAAGTACAGGTGTTAAAGGTGAAGAGTGTCAAACACGCTTGTGGAGCTGTGGTTGGAAGTCATTGCAATAACACACTAGATCGGTCCTAGGTTCGGTCTTACACGCACCCGAATTCACCAAGCTTTCCATCCCTCTGTGTTCGGCAAATTAGTGCCAGACTTGTCTGAGAGGATAAAAACAACGAACTACTGCATAGTTCAGATGCTCATTCTGTCACATCTACGATGCTATGAATGGGATCGAGTTCGTGGTGCATGTTTTAAGGATTGATCAACACCAATAGATTTCGCCATCGTGTATAAAAGTGCACCACTGAGTGAGGATGCCTCATTCGAGGAGATGGCTCAGTGAGGAAGACCGGACTCGACACGAAGGCGAAGGTGCCACATCGAGACGAATAACAAGCATGGACCATCGACTCGGATCATCGGCTCTGAGGAAGACGAAGACGTCGAAACGTTAGCCGAAAATAAATATCATTATCAACCTCGTGTAAGCTCATCGAGAAAGAATACCAATAGATTTGTTTTTTTGTTTTCTGAGTCAAATAAGAAAGTAGCACAGATATTCGCTCAAAATTCAACTTTTTAGACCGCTTGGGCAACTAAGCGTATCTAGGTACGTGCCATGGGATTATTTTGATGAAGTGAGCATGCTTAGCATGTAAATTACTCGCAAAGATTTTTCTATTCTCGTTCTGAAGTAGACCAACAGTGGACGAAGTCCTAAAGTCTAGTGGATTTTCAGAAGGTATTTAATTACGGGGCGAGTGTAATACATATGGGATCGATGTCGGTCCCACAGGCTCACCAAGCCTTCCATCTCTCCGAGGTCAACAAATTGGTACCAGACTTCTCCGGGAGGACAACAACACCGGCTCGATAGACCGGTAGGCAACCGCAAGTCATCATATATATCAAATATGCATTCCATCATTTTTAACTATGCCTAATGAAATCGAATGCATTGCACATCCCTCAGGGAATGATCAACGTCGAGAGTTTTGTGCTCTATCCCTTATGTGGTTAAGTCGTTTGCGGAACTTGCTTGCATTTCTTTGCTTTCCACTTGAGCTCTGCAGTGGTGATGTTTAACCATGGAAGTGTGGGTTTCTTCGTGGCTTTCACTGCAATTCGCACTTGATAAGCTTTTTGGTCGAGGAGCTGAAGAGCATATGGAACTGCTTTCGTGTCTTTCAAAAGGCACTGGTATTCGCTTGCTGAGAGGGAACTCTGTCAACAAAAAATTGCTTAGAACTGAATTTCTGCTAGGAAATTGTTGATTTATGACAGTAGTTTCAGTTTCTTTTTTGACTT